CTGCAGCAGCAGGCAGAACCTCCTGTAGCTGTTGCTGCTGCTGCTGAGGTGCTGCTGGGGGGCACGTTAGTGATTGTCTTCTCCCGCTACTGACGGCTGTTCGGTTCAGCAAGGGTTTGGGGTTTAGGGTTTAGGGTTTAGGGTTTGGGCTGTGCAGGAGACGCGCCAGGTGTACGCTGAGCTGCAGCGCCTAAGCCGGGACTTCTTGCCGCTGCTGCTGAACCGACAGCGGAGCTGCTTCTTCCGCCAAAAAGTTCCGCGTAAGAGTTTAGTGTTTAGGATAGGGGCCTAGGGTTTAGGGTTTAGGGTTTAGGGTTTAGCGAGCTGAGCTCAGGGCCACGGTTTAGGGCTTAACCAGCATGTACGTGAGCAGCCTCACATATCCATGCACGTATGCTGCAGTGACAGTGCGTTTTAAAGGGTCATGAGTAGGCCATAAGGTCCCGGGTTTATGGATTAGGGTTTAGGGTTTAGGGTTTAGGGTTTAGGGGTTTGAGGCATCTGTATAAGTTGTTGTATTCAGAACAGTCATCGCCGCAGGCAACGGAGCCCAAGGCCCGCTGCAGCTCGGCAGCAGTTACCGAGAGGCTCCTTGAGCGTGGTGGGTGGGGTCTGTGTCTCTTCTCCCTTTCTCCCTAGACATAGTAGCTGAGGGTTTAGGGTTTACAGCTTAGAGTTTTGGGTTTACAACTGTGGGGTTGGGGTCTGCAACTGAGGGTTTAGGGTCTAGAATGTGCTAGGGTTTGGGATTTAGGGTTGAGAGGCCTGGGAAGCATCGAGGCAGTAAACCCTTTGCTGGGGTTTGTATTCGGCTGTGCATACAGGGAGGCAACGGCAGGCAAGAAAGGAGCTACTACAGAAGCAGCAGCAGCTGCTGCACCAGCAAGAGCAGCAGCGACGACCCTACAGACCCGCAGAGGCAGCGTCGGTGAGACGTAGGGGCCGTGTCAGGGGCAGCAGGCTGCAGCACGAAGGAGTACAGATTCAAGTTGTAACAGTAGTTGCCGCAATCATTCTATTCTCTTTCACATGTATTATTATCAGCACCAATACACTCGAGCTGCTGCTGCTGCGGCTGCTGCTGCCAGTTCTCTCGGGTGTATATGCACCTCAGCCTTATGCGTATAGCTGCAACTTCAGCTGTAGATACACCCCAAGTGCAGCTAAGCAAAACACTTCCTCAGCAGTTAATTATAATGGGCAGTCAGCGCTGTTGAGTCGTGTGCGATGCAGCTGCAGACGACGAACGGGGTGTCTCGGCACTTGCAGCTATTCGAGTTAGCGCAGTACCAGCAGCAGCAGCAGCGGCGGCAGCAGCAGCTGCGGCAAGAGCAGCAGCAGCAAGATGATCTAAAGGAGTGCACCTTCAGGCCCAATTTGGTGCTGTCTCATAAATTTCCTCGGTAAATGAAATGAAGGAAGAGACTCTTCTCTCCATCCTCCATTCTCTCCTCCGCTTTCTGTCTCCTTTCTGTCTCCTTTCTGTGCGTGCTAATTAGTTAAACATCTTTCCTCTCTATAGATGCCGCTGCGCTGTCTCCCCTGGAGTGTCTGTACACTTCAACGAACAGTGGGGTGTATTTTTATCTGTACGACCAGCAGTCTTTTTCTATCGAGGTGCATCTGCGTATGAGAATATGAGAGTAGATACACCCGAAATAAACACAGGCATATCTGTTTGTGGTTGCATGCATGCATGCATCTGTTGCACCACGTATATAGATAAGTATCTTTGCTTCGGAGTGTATCGTGAGGTGTGCATGCATGTACGGGGCTATTTTCAAGCTTTCAGCCTGAGTATGTACTGATGTATAGATGCATTTTGAGTTTGCTGCAGCAACAGTTTCTATCCCTTTGTTTTGTTTTATCTCCTTTTTCGTTTGTTTCTGTATCACGCACCTCCGCCTTCACAGCACAGCTGCATCCTAACAGCATAAAGGATACAGCAGAGCTTCTTTACTTCAATCTCCCCCGTGCTGCTGCACCTGTCTTCGTAGGGGCCTCGGGCCAGGGCCCTCTCCCCCTGAGGGTTTTGGTGCTGCCGTAGAGCGTCTTCGCCGCGGCGCTGCTGATAGAGATCGCCTCTTCAGGTTTCACCAAAACAGGCAAACCCTAAACCCTAAACCCTAGCCCCTAAACCCTAGCTGCATGTATCTCCTTTCCTCACTCCATACACCCTCGCTCTATTCTTTAACACAACCCGAACCCTTCAGTACCCCCTCGTTGAATCAAGCAAATTCTGTGTTTATAATGAAAGCGAAATTATTTACGATAATATAAGATTCAATAGAAAATGCAGGACATAGGCATCGCAACAAAGCCTCAAGCTGTAAACTGTATTTTTTTATGTATATACAGGAGATAAAGGGATTTGAACCCTTGCTATATATATATATATATATATATNTATATATATATATATATATATATTATAATTGTGCATATATATAATTATACATATGTATAATATATAACGCATAAACCGCATATTTCTCTCGCTCAGGCTGGTGGAGACGCCGTCCCCCGCACGCAGAGACGAAGCTCCTTTCAGCTTCTCAGAGGGTCACTATACCCTCCGTCTCGCCCCCGAGGTCTTTGGCGTTTCTGTTGAAGTACAAAAGGGAAGGCTCGTTCGTATTTCTATCCGAGAAGGCGAAGACCCCAGAGCAGCCGTACGCAACCCTAAACCCTAAACCCTAAACCCTAAACCCTAGACTTCAACACGAATTCTCGAACCTTGAACTAAATGTCAACATACCCACACAACGGCAGCTTAACAGCTTCTCAGCAAAACCTAGCGGTGTCAGGAGGTATAGCTCGAGGGCCAGAAAAGCTTTCAAGGCTGTACGATTGAGAGTAAATGGTTTAGGGTTTAGGGTTTGCGTATGCGGCGTTCAGGTTGATTCTTTCTGCCGGTCCCACGGCTTGCACGCAGAGGAGCAGGAGTGGTTGAGCAGCATAATTTTGAAGGAGATGACAGCGCGGAATCTTTTAACTCTGGTGGACGGCGACGGCCATGGGGAGAAGCGTCCACAGGCTGTCGAGACACTCCAGGAGTCCCCCGGGTCTCAGCAGCAGGAGGTATGGCATCGAGAGCCCCCCAAGGCTTATAAGGGGTCTCCTAGGGGTGCCACAGCAGCGGGACCTGCAGCAGCCTCCCCTACGCAGCCTAGGCTTTCTGATACGGAGCGGCGAGGCATAAAGACCGTGGGGAGGCCGGTGCAGCAGAGCTTGTCAGGCACATACACCCGGGAGGGAGACAGCCTGGGTAGCCCCTTGGCAAACTCAGGGGCCCACAAAGATCAGTCCTCAGCCACAGCAAAACACGGCTCAGGTGAAGTGCATAAATATCAACATCTCGAATACCACGACATCTGGAACGTTCCAGTGGCGCCCCCAGCTGAAACACCCCCAGGCAGAGAGAAAGGCACTCCCTCTTCTCCCTCCTGCGGATTGCAGCCTGGGCAGCAGCAGCAACAAGAACGACAGGCGAAACAGAAACATGAACGAAAGCAGAAACTGCTGCAGCAGCAGTTGCAGCAGCAGAAACTAGAACAGCAAGAGAAGCAGCAGCCACGGCAGCTGTCCGGGCCGCCCCGAGTACATCATGAGGCCCTTAACGCTGCACCCATGGGTGCTGCTGCAGAGACGCCCCCGCAGCAATGGCAGCAGCAACCTGAAGAAAACACAGGCGAGGGGGAGGGACAGAAGCAACAGCAACCGCAGGGTACACCTGGCAGCACAGAAAACGGCAGCCTGCGCTGTCTAGCAGTCTTCACTCCTGAGGCCGAGAAGGCCGTACTTGGTTCCCCCTACAGTCGCATCAGCAGGAGTAGCAGCAGAAGCAGCAGAAGGGAGGGTCCTGAGATCCCTTCCAGTGAGCGCTCATCGGGATGGCTTAGTCCCGTTGCGACGGAGAGGAACCCTTGAACTCAAATGAATGCAGTGGTTCTCGTCTTCTAGGCATCAATTTTTTCCCTTACTTTTTAGTCCTTTTTGAGTCTCTGTAGCCACTCAGTAGCCTCAGTGGCTGTCAACGCTCCACAGTGGTTACTATGTACACCTCGTAGTACTGGTGACCAGCAAAGGGCGTTTGCTCACTTCCTTCATCATAAGTTACAAGTAAACGAGAGAGGGCTGCGAGGCCTGACTGCGAAGCACTAGAGGTTCCCGGGATTCCTGTTGATACAACGCCAATTTTCCTTTGCTGTTGCTGCTGCTTTTGTTGCTTCTTTTGCTGTCACTGCTGAGGCTCCCTCTGCTACAATGAGAAACGCTGCTGTTGGCTGCTGCTCTTGATGCTGCTGTTGAATTCGTTTGTATCATTAGTGGGGTTGAAGGTGAGGCAGTGGTGCCGCGACGATTCTCAACTCACAAAGGGAGAGAGCTGTTTGTGGATGAGATGCTGCTTCTGTTTTTCGCTTCTCTCTACTTTTGCTCTCCTCTTGGAGGTCTAGCGAAAGCTGGCACGAGGAAAGCACTGCTCACAAGGAGCCAAGAATAATCGTTTCCCTCTCTGTAATTTGAGATACGTTTAACTATGTGTCTACTGTGCCTCAGTAGACACCGGAACAAGAAACCTAATGGCTGGAAATGCTGCAATAAAAGTGGTAGCTGACTCACGTTCCGTGCGGAGAGTAGCCAACCATCCACTGATGCTGACCTACCTCCAGGACGCGAAATGGGCAAATGCAAGAACAACACTTCAAATATCCATGGAAGATTCAAAGCAAAAACAGTTCAATATGTTTCCCTTGTAGTAATTGTTCGCTCTCGACATCATGCGAAAGATTCTGCATGAAAACCCCAATGAACTCGACTCAATAAAAGCCAAACGTGTGTCGAACACGGCTAGCAGCACATGGGAAGTAACTGCCACTGCAACAGGGCTCCTGGCCCTTCTCCTAGGACCGTAGTGAGCTGTCATAGACTCACACCAGTTTGGTTCAAGGTGTCACAGCCTCAGAACAAGAGTTCTTGAAGGAGCATACGGCCTCGTTTCCTCTCTACAGGAGTCCCGAGAGAAGTGGCAAAAAGCCTGGAGCTAAAAGGGAGAGGTGGGGCATTTCCTGGTTTGCAAATGCTGGTGAAAGGCAACCCCACATGGAAGAATACCCAAGCCCCGTTCCGACGCATGCAGTACCACGGTGTTCACTTACTATACCGTTACTTTGGCTTTCCGCAGCCAACATAAAAACATTTACATGGTACATTTAGTAACCTCCGACAGATCCTCGAACAGCAATCACCTCTGAAGATCTGTTCCGAGAAGCTTTAATCCACTCGTCATGCCTCTAGAGAACCCGGAAAAAGGCCGAAAGCATGACTCACAACTTTCACGTTAAGCTCTTCGCCCTTCACTTGTCAGCAGGAGAATCATTCCTGTTTTTGGGTCTCATCCTAGTGATACGCTTCAAATCAGCGGGTTATCTCGACTGAATATACGCTTATTTAGTATACCACCATATTTTAAGGCTGATAATGAAGCATCAGAGCATGCGTATTGGTACTCGCGAGGTTTTCCCGTGCATAAGTACGACGTACCAGCAACCATAAAGGCGCATCTGCTCCAAAGTATGCAACTACACTCCCTATCCCTACATCGTTTGATTCGAAGATTTTCTTGAATGCGCTGATAAGAAGCAAAGACAGCGTTTACCCGGGCCTCCGCTTGCGTAGATGGGCATATTCGCGTTACAGTATCTATCACCCTGACTCCTTTTGCAGGAGCACGAGAACAGTAAAGCCTTTGAATTCACGCATATATAATGTCGCTTAGGACCGGCTAAACGGTGATCAAGCTTACTCTTCTTCACTGCTGAATTCAGACTTCTCACTTGAAGATTTGGTGCCGTCACCGAAAACTGCACTATACACTACGCAGGCTCACGGTGACTGCTTCTCCACAATACACCTTACTCATTAAGAGCCCGGCATGCTCAAGTATTTGTGTTAATGGCCTGGTATTGGTAAGCCGTTGCAGTGTCGAAGCGTGGTATATCCGGTAAGTAAATTGTTACAAACTGCCTATAATAATTTGAATTCGGCTTGCATGGGCGCCATCCTGTTCCTGTCTCTTGCGTGGCGGCCCCTCCTGTCCCTCATAGGGAACGCTCGCGCAGCGGGCTGCCCCTGGGGAGAGTCTAGAACAGGGCGTCGGCACACTGAGAACAGGAGCGCGTTGGTAATCTTTAACTGTCGTAGCCTGGAAAGCCCTTCTTCAGGTTTATCAGGACCTGACGATAGGTCTCGAACAGCGAAGTGCCCGTCATATGAGAGCTGTCAACACTTCTTTACTCCCCACTAGATCGATAGACCTCCTTATCGCAAACTCGGTGCTTCTGCGGTCTTCCCTTGGAACAGTGTGAGTAGCAAGCTGTCATTTACTGTTTTTAGTTCGAATCGTCGGCCTGCTGAGGGAGAGCACCACTCCAGCTGCTATATGACTGGCCTCAGGTGTTAGGGTGAAGGGTTCCTCGAAATCAGGGAGTGCTAGTACCGGAGACAAACTTCGGTATCTGAAGCAGCTCCTCACGGTTCTTCCATCTCCGTCAAAACAAGCCATTCGACCTTCATTAGGTCCTTTGGGGGAGCATCGATGCTGGCAAATGTGGAAATGAAGTTACGATAGCAAGATGCGAGGGCAAAGAAGTTCTGAACGTCCATGAGCGTGTCCAGGGGAGGTGGCCAACTTCGACTGGCCTGCCTTCGTTGTATCTGGTTTGACGCCTGCTGTAGAGACAGGAAAACCCTTAGAAGATGAGTTTTTGGAAAAATGCGGATGCCGTTGCTACTTCCCTAATCGCTGATTCTCACGTAGGGGTTGCAACTGTCGCCGTCCATACGGATAACCATCCAGCCGTTATTGACTAGAGAAATAAAGGCGTGACCAACCTGTTCATGCAACTCTGTTGGTGCATGCATAACTCGGCATGGCATATAGAAGTATTCCAGTTTGAGCGGACAGGTGTGAAACTCAGTCTGCTGTCTCCCGTCGGGATGTACGGGGATATGGAAAAACGCGTTAGCGGCATCTGACGAAGAATAGACTGCTGTGCCGTACAAGCCGGCACGTAGTTCGTCAACTCGGGGCATCTAAAAATTCTGGACTACCCTAAGTTTGTTAAGGGGAGTGATGCTGATGCAAGTACCTCATCTCCTGCCCTTCTTCGCCAACACCGGATCCTCCCAATGCGCTCTAGTTGATGCCTGAACTTTGCCTTTTGCTAGCGAGACGTCTGCCTGCCGCTCGTATTCCTCTTCAGGATGTGGGGGTCGCATTGCCAAACAAAGCATGGAGATCGCCCAGTAATGCGTCCGGTGAGGAGCGCTGCTCGCGAGGCGTGTTGCCACCTCTGCGGGAACTATTCGTTATTTCGTGCATCTTAGAACTCTCTGTAGTGCTTGACCCGTCGCTCGTTGTGGAGATTTGCTATGACGGAAGCTGTATGAGTATCTAAAGAATAAAAATAAGGCAATTTGCAAACAGAATCCTCGCAGGCAAGCGCAGTTGCAGAACACGGTACCTGGCCTGTACGGCCTGCAGTGCGTCGCGAGAGTGTCTCAGCGACCACTTCGGTGATACCCTTGATATGCTTAGCCGTGAAGTCGTACTGCCTGAGCCAGAAGAGCCACCGAACAAATCCTTCATTTTCGGTCGTTAAAGCAGTTTGTCAGGCGTCTCCTGCATTGATCATCGAGTTGGACAGTAAAGCGCCCACCATGTAAGTAATGTCGACAGTATTGTACACCCCACAAGACCTCGTAGAGCTCCTACTCTCTTACCGGATAATTCTACGGCCTTTCCGTGAAACGACGTAAGCAGTAGACGATTATTTGATGCTTTTTCAAGCCGTTGACTTGCTGAGAGAGCATCACCCCTACGACCGTGTTGCTGCCCTTGGTCATGAGGAGGAAAGATTTATCAACATCAGCGAGCGCGCGTACGGGGGATGATTTCAGGCTTCCGATGAGGGATCTTCATCTTCATTCTCGGTCCAAATGAACTGCTTGTTCTTACTGAGAATATGCGTTAGAGGGGCGACAGTGGAAGCGAGTGAAATTGCCGTCGTACGGGGTGATCTCCAACAATGCCTCGGCGAAGTCAAATGCTGAGTATACCACTGACCCATGTAAGCGGTCAGGGCTTCCGTCGATCCGGGGCATCGGAGACTTTTATTTGACCGTGATTTTGTTTAGGGGCATAAACTCGCGGCGCATGCGTCACCTGCAGTCCTTTTTCTTTGCCAACACTGGGTTGTCTCCAAAAGCTCGACTTGACGGCTTAACCTGGCCTTTCTTTTAAAGTTGGTCCGCCTGTCGCTCAATTTCCTCTTCAAGATGTGGGGGTTGCCTGCATCTTGGGACGAAGCTTGGGGCTACGCCATGAATAAGTTCGATATGGGGCGCTGAGCCCTCACCGGCTGGCCTTCCCGCCAGTAACTCTTTGTTATTGAACAAACCTGAGAAAATTTCCTTCGACTTTTCCCACCTCTGCTGTTCCTTGGGTGCTAATCGGATATAATCCCCTGATATTGTGGTCTTCACAAGACGATAATGGGGGAGTGCATAGATAACTCCGTCATTCCCTTAAGTGCCTCTGCACTGCATGGAAGCCTCCTCGCTCCGCTTTCTTTGCGGCAGTTTCCACTCTCCTGATAATATAGAATATGCAAACGCCGCTGGTAGCGGTGAGAGTTGCAGCCTCTCATCACTTCCTGACGGAAAAACATTTTTGGTAGCATCAGAGAGGAGCATTTGCGCGCTCCATTGGGTCACCTACGGCATGCTTAGGATTATGCCGTGGTGAACTGGCCCAACGTAGAAGTCCTTTATCATGTTGATGTGCCCCATTTTGGAACTAAGGGCACGTTTACACATTTTCCTTCCATGTTTTTGCCTATTCGCGTGCACTGCCTACCATCCTCCAAACGTAGTCTCAGGGACTGCGCCAAGGAGTGGACGGTTAGGTTGTGCCTTGCCATGGCACCCGACAACAGATGCAGTTCGCATCCCGGATCAATTAGGGCTAGCAATATCTAGTCCTTAATACGAACTTCTACAAGCACGGGATTGACTCGAGACGGACCTGCTGGTGCAGCAATCATCTCTTTCGGGCCCGTCACTGCGCCGCCCGCTGCGTGGGGGCCCGACCCTTTCATTGGTCGCCTAGATTGTTCCACTGGCGCCGCTGTGTGTTGTTTGTCTTCACTTATCCTTTAGCATTTTTCATAAGTCTGCAATCTCGAAATATGCGACCCTATTTATTGCGCAAGAAGGAAATAGGCCATTCCGTACGTCTTTCAGGTGTCCGGGAGGCCTGATTCACCGTCTGTTGCCGGTTTCCGTTTCTAATTTCTCCCCCGGTCGATCTACCATGCACAGACCCGATATCGAAAGGTTATATATAGGAACCGTTCCATGTTTTATCGCTGTAAATACTCACTAAGCATTTGTATTTGCTTGCAGGAAACCTACCAAGACCAAGTGAATGCTCCCGTGCGAAGGTCAGACACCATGCTATTTGCAATACATGGTTGGAAGGTTCTGTGATCACATTTTCCTGCTGAACAGTTTCATCTGGGTGTTTGGGGTGAAACGCGCCTAGATGAGCCAGCTCACCGGGACAGTGGGATCAAAGAACCTTCCAATCAACCCGGGGTTGGGGCACTGCCTCGTCTGGGGTCGTGGTGGGTGAAGGCAGACTGCGCATTCTTACGCATCTATCTGGCGGCGTTCCTCGCAACGGTTTGTTCTGTTTGTCATTCTAGCTTCCCTACTTGCAGTTCTAAAACAAGACAAACTAATATTTTGTACTGTAAGATGAGCCAAAGGACTAGAGGAGCCTGTGCTCCACGGGGCACGGCCCGGTGCCTGTGTGTCGAGTGAGGTCGTTCGCGCTAACTGGTTGTGGGGCTACGCAGTTGTTTGGGAATTGACTTAGAAAAATACAGTGTTCAAAGTAGTAAGTTAAATGTTAAAATCCCCTGAAGTGATTGGAATCCAACCTGAAAACTTGGATCCGGAGGCTGTCGTTGGTCTTCATCAGTGCGGCCGGTCCCAGCACCTGGTAATTCATCCAAGGACATCCGCAGGGCGGAAATACCCGCGTGCAGGTGCCTGCATGCTCGGCGAGCTCCCAGAAAGAAAGACCCGGAAACACTTGTTTTCAATATTGTATGCATTACGAAACTTAATTCAACGATATAAAGTATATATTAGCGTGCTCTCACCTTAAGCGGACGACCAAAAGCTGCCACTCGAGACAACAACCTGTCTGCTGATGCCAAGCCTGCACATATGTGCAGTTTTGATGCATGCGCTCAAAAGGAATGCCAGAGATTGCCGATGGGGCAATGCTCACGCCGACATGATCGTTGGAGCCCTTCTATATACCGTTACCAACTCTGAAATCTCGTTCATCCTTCCGTTTAGTGCTAAGCGGGCAGATTTCGCCTGCGTCAGCCTCTATGCAGTGGTGAGCGTTGGCTGATAGCGCCACAATGTCGAGGCGGCTGGGCGTCCCGGTTTGCCGAAGCTCTATTATCGCTTAGTAGACAGCATTGCGCGTCAGATTGCGATTATTCAGGGGAGGCTTTCGCCTCGCGCGAACAACCCACGGGTAGCTGCCCGGAGGTCAGTCGCCGCCAGTCTGAAGTAAATGTCGCATCAATCCTAGCGTAGGCCCACACCCAAACAAAGCCCACACCCAAACAGAGCCCCTCGACTAAATGCTCTGTAAAGCTCTATCGTCATATGGGTGCCGTTTATCAGTAAGGCACGCTGGCGAGCGTCCTCTACATGCCTAGAACGCACACGCGATTGCTCACTGTAGCTCATGTAGAAGACGCTCGCGAGCGTCCTCTACCTGTCTAGTACGCATAACGACTTGCTCACTGTAGCTCGTGCTCCGGCTAACTGCGATAATCACGATAGAATCAGCACCAGAACTAAGTCGATTCAAGCTACGCGATTATCAACTAACTGCGATAATCACGATGGAATCAGCGCCAAAACTAAGTCGATTCAAGCTACAAGATTATCAAAGGCCCGGTTACTGCGGGGGGTTGTCACTGCACAGACTAGGCCTGTTCGTGACAACAGCGAAAACTACCGAATGTCCCATACAAAGGCAATTCCAAACGCCGTATACCCGATGCAAGACCTCATCATACAAGGCCTCATCGGCAACACGATGACCTTCAAGCCTACGTCAAAGACGAAAGCGAGGTGCACTGTAGGTGAAAACTTGAAGTAAGAGTTTCCCAAAACCAGCTGACACCCTCCGCCTGCCCCCAGGCGTCCTATGCGTTGAGCTCAGGGCATGGGTGCTGCGGGGAGGAGGCAGCCAGGAATGGCGTTGCAGCGCATCTCGCTGCGGCTGGTGAAGCAAGCGAGCCTCACGCGTGCACAAAAGGAAGCTTCAGCGAAGCTTCTTTTACTGCCTGCTTTACCTCTGAATACACTTGTAGAGCGTGTGTATTAGCTTACATGCAAGCTACCAAGGCCAAGTGAAGGCTCGTGTGCTATATGTAGGCAGACCACGCTACACCGTGTTTAGTGAAACGCTCACGACACAAGGTATTGTGATAGTAAAGCGCCACCTACTCATTGAAGGAGGTCACCGCAGGAAAAAAAACCTAGCTTCCAGGCATATTAGACGGTAGTTTTGGTAGCCTCTACTGTGTTACCACTGCTGCTGTTGTTGCTACTGCTGTGGTCGGTCTCCGACTCGGAGATAGAGTCCTCGCTGCTGGTGCTTCCCAGTCGCGTTAATTCCCGGTGCATTTTAAACAGAGGCGATCCTGAAAAAATTGCCAGCAGAGAAGCAACCAGGGTTCGGCACATGTAAGAGGGGTACGGTTTAACGCACGACACTTCAGTGGCCAGTCCACTACTAATGACGCCCCTCAGGGTTGAGTCTAGCTTTAAGTAGGGTATAGAAAACTCACTCAGTCGATCCGAAACGCCACTTGGGCCCAATAAGCGGCCTCCTAAGGAGAGAAACACAAAACATCAAGCATGGAGCGACTAGGGAGATGAAATGACGAGATTACGCCTTGCCTTCGTTGTAGATGCAAGGCTTGCAAACGAAATGAAATATCTTCTCTAGAAACAGAAGTGTCTACCGAAGCCAAATGCAGAACAGGAATTCAAGATTCACAGTTCAGGGTTTAAGACGTACTGTTAGGGTGGCGATTAGGCGGGTGGATGTTCAGCTCAGGCTCCGGGGGAGCAGAACAGTTGCGCCACTGCTCTGTTGAGTTGCAAGCCACAGCACAAGAAGGTAATCAACCATAAAAAGGAAATTTCGAAGATGTACGCAGGAATACAGGGTGAGATACCGGAAGACGGCAAGAGCTACAAGTGCGCGGTGAGGCAACTCATAAGGAATCTACTGTGGAAGAAGGCAAAGGCAGCTGGTGGGAGCGCCACAACGTATCATGCAGAGCAGAAGGAAACGAAACCGAGATACATAAGAATGAAAAAGCTCTTCCGTACTACACCTCTCATATTAGCGAGGACAGGAAGACATGGGCACAATTTCGGGGAACACGCGCAAAATTCAAGGACTCGAAAACTGAGTAGAGAGTTCAACGGAACCGCAAAGCAACATAGGAACACAAGGGATAAAATCTGGAAAATCACACGAGAGCGGCAAGCAAGCATCCCGGCGGATGGAGAGAAACGGAGCGATGGGGAGATGAAGGAAGAACTGGCATGTGTGGACGCAGGTGCCAAAAGAAGTGAAACGGAGGCCAGTGGAGATGCACACGGAATAACGCTCTCCCATACGCATGAAAAGGAACACCCGGAAATACAGAGACACACACTACGCGACAGAACCAAAGGAGGGACGTGTCTGACCCCAACTCAACCGGTACTGAGTGACCAAACGGCAATTCTGGGCGCTTGAGCCTAGCCCGTACACGCTTAGCCATAACATCTGAGTACAGTCTGAGTATCAGGCACCAGCTGTCTTACGAAGGTCCTCATGGGCTCTGCCCCGCTGTGAAAACGAGAGCTTGTAAAGCACGCTAACACACGCCACGCCTGCGGCTCACCGTAATTCTCTGGGGTGAGGGTCAGCAGCATGCCAAGGTCTATCTTCTGCATGTCTGCATCCGTCTCATCATCTAAAGGCGTCAAACCCAATCCGGCAAGACGGCCCTCGTGCAGCAGCATCTGAGCACAACGCCGACACTCACACCCAAGGCCCGAAAACCTGCATCATCAACACTCAGCTAATCTTGGGAAAAGCGGCCAAAGGCTCACACGGGCCTTCACTGAACTTCTAGCGGAACATCCTTAGAGATGCTGTCTGCGGTCTCCACATGTTTGTTCGTCGGTAAGGTGAGGTGATTGCATGCCGTGCAACACGCGCTGTAGGCTCAGAGATACGCTGTGTGCGCTTAAAGCAGTTATTTTAGAACGGGTAAGAAGAGTATGTGGCTTTGGATTAGCCGGCAGGTGATCGGCAGCGTGAGCACAGTGGTGAAACAAGCAAATAAGATGTGAAGTCTTAGGCCGCTACTTCGGCACAGACCTTGCGGGTGTGCATGTGCATACCTTGGTATCATCTTCAATGGCCAGAGCCCCTGTCATGAGGGCAATACCCCGTTTGAAACCCATTTCCACAAATGCAGCCTCCTGTTCCAACTGCTGGCACATCTTCGCGTGGATTTGTGAGGCAAAAGCAGAAATCTCCTCCGCCTCCCACTCCCAGCTTTCCGGTTCCTCGTCCTCCTACGCAAAACATGCACATTCTAGATTTCTGCCCTCGAACCCCGCAAGGGCGTCAATCTCAGTGCAATGCACTGTTGCACCACCCACGTATAGACAGCACCGTGAAACGTGAAGATCGCCACGAGACAGACAAGCAAGAAAAGAAACTACAGGGGATACATGTCAGAGGAGTGCTTCAGTTCCTCCAAACACTACAAATGGAGCTATGCTCCGCTTCAACCCAATGGACGGCAGACGCTTGTATAAGATATGAAGTGACCGAACTGTCCATGCAACTCAGGGCATGGCGGCCTCGGGTACTGGGATGGGCTTCGTCTAGTCTGTTCGTTACTGCTGTCTACGAGTCGACGTATATTCTCAACTATTTGTTTAAACAGGAGTCATTTCTAAAAAACATCCGTGAACAGTCTCTCGCATGGGGAGATATGCTATCAAGTGCCTCAGCACACACTTTAATCGATTAGCTGCTGCCTGGAGAGGTGCTTAATACGGGCTGAAATGGAGCTTTCCGCTTACACGCATGCAAAGAATAGGCGTGTTGTGTATGGGATTAACTAACCTGCTCCTCACGAAGATATCCCGAGTCGGCATCGCTGTCCGGCTCACTACTGACTTCAGTCACGATACTCCCTAGGCTGCTGCTTCTAAAGCCCCTTCTGTTGCTGCTGTCATGCGTCAGCAACAGATTCTCAACTAACTCCACAAAACCCATGTTGGCAACTGCGTCTTCCTGCACTCGCCGTCGCCGCCCCGTCCCCTTACCCCCCTCTGTTGCTTCCGGGTGAAACCGCACAGTCGCGCCACCCTCATCCTCTTCTGCTGCTTCTACAGCTTCCCCCTCCGATTCTGGCGCTCCTTCTGCTGCCGGGACATCGTCTCCCGAAGCTTCATCAGGAGATGTACCTGCATTGGTAGCACCCCCGCCTGTTACTGCAGCGGCGGCTGCTGCAGCAGCGGAAACTAGCCCGAAAGACCACCACGAAGAGCTCTGCAAGGATCACACATGCGGCCACAGAACATCACATGCTACCCGAGGCTGAATCAGCACCAGCTGATGCTGCTGTTTCCCTCTAGCGCAGTGTCGCACTTCAAGCAGAGTGAATGCGTACTCCTCTATGGTCTGCCCAATGGAGGCAGTGCCCTACCCTGAAATCTATGGCTGCATTCACGCACAGCAGCAACCGCACAAGCAGCAACGATAAGAGAAGCCTAGGTGCGAGAGTAGCTTACAGAAGGTTGTTCATGAGTTGCTTCTCCTGGAGTTTCATCTTTCAAGTCTGCCTTTTCCGGTGGGGGGGACGATGCAGGGGAGAGACTATCTCCTGACATTTCTATGTACCGGTCGCCGCGGTTGTTGTTGCCGCTCGCGCTGAGGTATGGTCAGCAGCAGCGGCAACTGCAGCATCTGGGGATAAGGCCCTCCTTCCCCAGCTCAATCTGCTGCTTGGTCCCCGTGCCTTGATGAAGGGGAATGAGCAGAGCGCTGCCGGCATGCAGCAGCNCAGCAGCCCTTCTCGCCTCAGACGACAATGAGTTTAAGGTATCTATAGCTTGCTGGCAAGCACAATGGGTGAATAAATGTCTTAGAGTATGGAATGTCTATGCGGCTGCAGAAGCAGCGAACTTATCTGCAGTGCCCAGCAAAACAACGGGCTGAGAGCGCGATAAGAGCGCATGCTAAGATATAAGGGTTAAGCTGAAAAAGAATGTGTGCACGTTGCTTTCAATGAATTGGTTCTCCCTCGAGCTACAGTGAGCAAGCCTCGGTTGACGGCAACCGAGGCTACCAACTGGGTAACTAGCGTGGGAAACGCATACGCAAAAACGAGGTTCAATTTACCTTAAGAAGTCTTTATTTTCAAATAAAAGCAGTTGTGCCCCCTTTGCAAAGATGGAGCGTACATGCGTTCTACTGCGGAGCTTAGCGCCCGTCTGCACAGCCGGCGACACAATCGGTCTGACGCTGTAGTGCCCTGGGGCTCAACAGGGCAGAGGAAAGGAGTGAGAAATCCCCCCACATTACCAAGATACCGAAACTTTCCCTTTTTTAATACTCCGAACTCGCCAATTTGCTGCACGAATGATGATCCGTTAGGCAATAAATAGTCGATGTAGGAGCTAGGTCCGAAAGCGGCCCAAGGGCGGGCCTGACTCGAGTCGCCGCTAAGGGCTAAGCTATCGAGCCCCGTAGCGAGAGGTTGACGAGTATTAACGAGCCAACACGAAATGTTATAAGCAGAGAGTCCTTGAATAAACGGGAGAAACGTAGTTCTGGGTCGTTGGGGGCCGTCGCCCGTCACATCCAATCGGGACCTACGGGGTCGGCTCGAGGATGCCGGCTTGGGCCGCTGCAGCCAGTCGGCTGCGACTGAAACCCATGTAACACCCATGTAGTAAGTGGCTGTGACTGTAGGTACATGACAGGACTAGCGACAAGCTAACCCGCAGCAGAAATGTGATTGTAATAAGGAAATACGAAGTAACAGCTAAGAAGGGATACTATGACACTTACTAGTGGTAATAGAACTGCCCTATTGAAGTGTGCACGCACTAAAATATTCCCCCCCGCGGCGAAAGCGCGTGGCGCAGGGACACGCGTAAGGGCGGGCCCGGAGGTCGGGGGAAAATCGGTGTAGCATGATCTGCCTACAGTTAGCACAGGAACCTTCACTTGGCCTTGGTAGGATGCATTTAAGCCAATGGAAACGTTCTACGAATACATTCAGAGGTAGACCATACAGCGAATGAAGCTTCTTTGAAGCTTCCTTGTGCACATGCGTGATACTGGCTTGTATCAGCCGCAGGGAAGTGCAGCTCCACTTCAGGCAGCCTCCTCACCGCAACATCCAAGCCCTGAACTCAACGCCCAGGAGGCTTGAGGAAAGGGGAATGATATCAGCTGCTTTTGGGAAACTCTTGCTTTAAGCCTTTAGCTACATTGCAGCTCTATCCTGTCCTTGATTAAGGCCAGTGGGCAAGCTTTACAGGGGACGCAAACAACCCAGAAGCCTGCTCGGGGGGCGATCTGGCAGAAGTGGAGCGAACTCTCCTGGACACGCTGCAGTGACGACGGCGCCAGGCTCGGAGGGCTGGCCAACCCTGTAGGTGAGTGGCTGGTTCTCGCGCTGCCGGGTTTTCGGATACCCCGGATCGCTTGACCAGGTATTGAATGTCCGATCTTTTACCCCGTTGGTCAAGGATATAGCGCACTTCGTAGCAGCGAGTGAAATTCTCATGGATATCACGAGCAGGTAGCCGACCAACTACTGTATCACGAGACTTCATCGCCGAATCCCGAGACCTGTCTGGGATCAGCTGAAAAACATGAAATACATTCTGGCAGTCAAAAGNTTCATCGCCGAATCCCGAGACCTGTCTGGGATCAGCTGAAAAACATGAAATACATTCTGGCAGTCAAAAGTTTGAGGGAAGGCCAACATTTGGATGACCTTATAGATGCGTTCTGTGACGGTAAATGGTCCATAGAATCGGCTTTCGAACTGAGAACACAAGCTTTGTGGAGGAAGGTTCCGACTGCTGATACGTACTCTGTCACCTGGCTGGAACTCCGCATCCCTTCTATGCGTGTTCGCACAGGCTTTCTGCTCCCAGCTAGCTTTGAGAATGTAGCCTTCGGCCCGATCGAAGAGGCGCCTGAAAAGCTTGCACATCGGTGGTATGACGGCCGGAGCGGGATCTCCCATGATGTTCAGTTCCGCCGCTGGAATAGGGTTTTCCCTTATCATGACCTCAAAGGGGCTGAGTTTGGTTGAAGAATGGCTACTGGTATTGCATGCCAGCTCCAGCGCCGGGAGAAGTCGTTCCCATTCGTACTCATCTGGTTGAATATTTCTGCGAACCATTTGCTCGAAGGTCCGCTGGACTCTTTCCGTTTGACCATCCGTCTGTGGACGGGACGCTGTAGAGATAGTCCGCTGGATGTTGAGTTGGTTGCAGAGACGTTCGCAGAGCTCTAGGCGGCCCACAGTAACATGGTCATGGTGTAAATACATGATGTGAGTTAAAACCTATAGAAAGTGCGACACACAATTTTTCCATACGCCATTATTGCACACGAGCAGAAAAGGAAAAAGAAAGACAAAGGAGAAACACCTAGTTGCTATCTCAAAAGAAACCGGGTTAACGTCAGCTAGGACGGCAGCTTGCTATGGTTTTTGAAAAGCTGAGCACCGGGCAGAGCCGTCGACCCAGGCTTGCAAAGAAAGGGCTGCGTAAACCGAAAGCTCTGACGGAACGAGGCGGGGAGGATTACAGGGTGATGGAGGTACTAGATCAGATGACGCGCCATGAGGAAGATGGACCTCCACCGGTAGTGTGGGAGGGTCCAGCAGAGGAAGCGCGCGAGAAGGGGGGCAAGAAGCGGAGGGAGGAGAGGCAGGACCTCTCTCTTGGGAGATACGGGTGGCGAGGCCGGCCAAATCGCAACAATTTAGGCGTTGACCTGTTGTATGGGGGTGGGCTGAAATAACCGCTGGTCCATGGTATGCAAAAGCGCCAATCACAAGCCCAGTCTAGGCGGCAAGACGGGGGGATCACATGATGGCGAGACATAGCATGAGTGACCCTGTCATCCCACGTGATGGTTTGTTGGGCGGGAGACTCTGCAAATCCGTAAGAGCCTGGTGATCAGTATACGCGGTAACCTGCGCCGATCGAAGGAAATGCTTCCACTTCTCCAAGGCCGAGACTAAGGCCATGCGCTTTCTATCGTATATGGAGTATGTCTGCTGAACCTCAATCAGTGACTTGCTGAGAAAATCAACTGGTAGAACTGGTCATCGGGGCCTTAGCCCAGGGTTTTAGCCAGTTGCACTCGTCTTCTTAAAAAAGGAGCTGGTCTCCTCTCCGGTCACTAAGTGTCCTCAACCGAACGAAAGAAGGCCATGGAGTCGTCAACTAGAGGAGGGGAACCTTCCGCACGACACTCTGCTGAAGGCCCTGTTGCAACAGCAGCAATGAAGCGCTGCGTGATGGTACAAGTACTATTGGAAATACAGTTTGGGAAGGAAACGGGAATCACCTCAGGTAGGCGCACTTGCAGGAGAAAGTGCTCGGCAGATAAGTCGGCGAGACGGTGCGTCAGCGACCACGTTTGCGGTACCCTTCATGCGCTTGATTGTGAAGCATTTTTGCGAGGGCTGCAAAGTCACCGAGCAACTACTTACCTGAGGAAGCCTTAAAAACTCTCCGATCGTTTTTTTAGATGATTGCTAACCGGTTTGAGCAGTGGAAGTATGCCATATAAGGAGTGCCAGCAGTCCTTTGCACCCCATCAGACCCCGTAGAGCTGCTTATCAAGTGTCGAGTACATCTCCTCTCTTTCCCTGAAGAGGTATGAGTAGCAGGCGATTCTCTGGTGCTTTTTGTTCTTGACAGGTTCTGCACTTGCCCCCGCTAATTCCGGATGGACATAGGCGCATCCTCCATGCGTATAACCATCGAGCCGAGATTTAACAGGCAAACAAAGCAGAGACCAGACTGCACCTGAAATTCGGCAGGTGCATGCATAACTCGACATCGCATATAGAAGTAATCATGCCTGCGACTGTTGGTATGGAACGCACCCTTGTGCATGCCGGTTTGATAAAGCAGGATATATAGCAACGCGTTGGCAGCTTCTGATGATGGATAGGGTGCTGGGCCTTCCAGGCGGCCAAGCTATCTGCGGTTCGGGGGCACCTAAAACTCTCACTTCACCGATATTTTGGTGAGGGGCTTGCTGTCGATGCATATATGCCATCTCCGGCCCTTTTCATTTGCCTGTATCTGACTGGCCCCACAGGATCTAGTTAGTGCTTGAAATCTGCCTCTGCCTAGCTAAACGTCTATTTTCTTATGCATTTCATCTTATAGATACGGCAGTTGCCTGTATTATGGTAAGAAAAACTTGCGGTTGCACTGGTGGTTAGTTCGATGTGGTGCGTTGGGCGTACTGAGTGTTGCCGCCCCACTGCTATACCCGTTCCTTAATAACGCACAGAACTATCCCTTCAGGTGTGTCAAATTATTCTTTTCATCCGTCGTTGACTGGATGGACTCTCTCAACACTGCTATCTTCGTAACTCCATCACGTCGGAATGCGTGAAATTCATAGCTGTTGCGAGCAGCACTTCTGCACTGCGTTGGAGTCTAGTCGCTCCTGCCTCCTTGGGACACTGAATCCACTTCTCTTACTGCAGAGGAAGCAAACGCCACTGCGAGTGGTGACAGTTGCACTCTCACGTTGGTCGCCAGGATACACTTTTCAATAGTATTTCAATAATATCTTCTGGAGGCGGCAGGCGTGGTGCGTGCTGACCACTGTGACAGTTACGAAATGCCCATGATTATGCGGTAGCGAATTAATCCGCCGTTGAATTCCTGCATCACTGTATCCATATATCCTTCTACATCGTATCTGCACTTCGCATCCATACTTTAGCGAACCCTGGTATTTTGTTCACAGTCGTCCAGGCGTACTCGTGGCGCTTGCGCCGGCGAGCACGCAAGTACCTCCTTGTTGTACCTTCAGAGATCAGAGACGCACTACGAAGCTTATATCAAGCAGCGCTCGTGAATGCTAACCGCTTGTACGAACTTGGATATGCACAAATGTGACTGGCGATTGATCAGCTGGCGCAACTGTTGGCTCTGTTTGCATTCCCGCTGGCTATTGTGTTACTTAGAGGCCAATAAGCTTCTCTGCTCGTTTTGTTGGTTTCCTTGTCCATGCTGATAAAACTCTTGCTCCTTTAAGTCCCTGTCTTTCTTTTTGCCCTTGAAGGCTGGACTTATAGGAGCTGGTTTATTGCACAAGAACCAAAGCTAGGTGCCATTGGTGCCGAGTTTTTGCTGCCATCTGTTATCGCTCCGTCTTTGTCGTTGGGGGGGAGAAAGGCGGGTGGCGTGACAGTCACAACTATACCACTGAGAGTCTGTACTTCTGGCTCGTGTTCAAAGCTTTTTCTCAGCTATGGTGGTATCACTAGAGCTTCTTCCTTCCGCCTCAGTTCGCCTAAGCTTCCATCATTTGCATGAAATCTACCGCTTCCCCGCTCTATTCCCTCTTCTTGGTCCCGCCTGCCACAGATTTTATCCTTCAAGAAGACAGCCCTGTTGCAAGCCATTGATAGAGAAGCTTTGACTCCACCTTTGTATTGGCGTTCACCAAGAAATTGTTTCACCTACTGCGAAGTGCCAATAGTTTCCGTTGTTTAGCATTATCAACTGTGTCATAGCGCGCTTCTTGCAGCCATACGCTCATTCCCCTGCTGGCATCTGGACAGCCACTTCGGTCCATCTGCATGTGCCTACACTATCGGAATCTGCTCTGGAGGGCAAATGCCGCTGCCCAAGTAAAACCACCTTGCTGTGCTTCCTCTTCTAAAAGGAAAGAGGCCTGTAGCAGCTGTAGTTCTTGAGGCGCATTTTGAGAATGCAAGTAGACTCCAACCGAGGTTGGCAATTTTGTCACTGCACCGGTTTCGTGAAGCCTGTCATAATTGGGTGATTGCAACATGCAGGGAAATTCTTCGTGAAATGCCTCTACGGACAAAAACATTGTTGGCTTAGCGAGCTGCGAAGGAACTAATGCTTTCAAGGCAATGAGGTGCCCAGTACCTGGTAACCTCACTTCCTTCTCTAAAGAGTAAAGATTGACCAGGTTTTGCTCACTGGAACAGATGGAGTTTTCGGCAAAGATTTGAAAGTGACTGCGCAGAATAGTTTCTCCCCTAATGGTAAGAAGCGCCTGCACCGCTAAACGGCACTCTGGGTTGGAACGTCTGGGCGCCAGACAATGTTATCAGCCCCGATCGTTTCGTAAGTATGCCGCGGAGCAGAGTGTCACCTGTTTTCGTCTTTCGCGTAGATTCACCGTTAGCTGCGACAAAGCCAAGGCTGTTGCGAGGGAACGGCATTTATAGCTAAAGTATTAAAACTCTTATCCCGACTTCAGGGTTCCTGAGCAAAGCGACTGGGGTCCTTGGCGCTGTTGGCCAGCAGAGGAAGCCTTCCAAGAGTCGTAGCATTCTCTTCTGCGACTCCTGCCGCAACGGCAAGTGGCAAGCCCCCTTCTCGCAAATATAAGAACGAAGTAACCAATTATCAAACACGTTTTTGAACATGTTTTTGGATTACAGTAACCAAGATAACCAAGATACACACAAACACGTGCACAGGCGCATATTTCTCATATTTCTGATAGCACCTGCTATTACTGGTATATAAAAGAATTGCTCGAACGCTGACGGAAGTGTTAAACACAGTTTACGGCGACCCTTAACCCCTTTGGTATAAAACAAGCATATGGAAAGAAAACACAGCAACATTATCCCTACATTTAGTAGGTAAACTAAATTGCTTTATGGAATGAATTGCTGGTAGAAACGAACGTATTTGTGGAGCATCTGTAATCGTGTCTGAACCCGCCATAACAAAAATTGCCAAGGCTACTACAGCTGTAGCAGGTACGAAAGATACTACCGGGATCTGAAAAAAAAAAATAGTACTTAAACTAGCATGCCTGCAGCGCATGTGTAACGCTGGTTCTCTGGCCTTGACCTGACCAGAGACGAGCCGCAATGAAGGCAAAGACTTAAAGTA